GGAGCCCGATGCGGGACTCGATCCCAGGACCCTGGGATCATGACCTGAGCCGAAGGCAGACGCTTAACGACTGAGCCACCCAGGCGCCCTCATTTATCTTTTTATTAAAGTGCTTCCCCAGGGACCAAGGTCTGGACCAGCTTTGCTAGCCCGATAGGATCTCCAGACCCACGGGAGGGCCTTGCCATAGTATCAGGACTAACAGGATCGAGACCTCTCCCATTTCTGATTGCCCTTTTTTTCCTCCCAGCCATGTACCGCCTGGGGGAGGATAGAAGGCCAGTCTTCTCCCTGTGGGAGATGGTGGTGGGCACACCCCATCCCTTCTCTGCGCTCAAATTCAAGGGCGGGCCAACCCACGTATGGCTGCCCAGCCAGAGTGCTTTCAAGGCCCAATGCCTGAAAGGCAGAGGCCGTGGGCAGCTAGATGGGCATCAAAATTTCCAGCTGGGAGGGGTCGTGTTCTGTCTGGAAACGCTGGAAGGAGTGGTGGCAGGGAATGGGTGGGAGGTGGGGGGGCTGCCCTGGATGCCCTCAGTTGGCTGGGCGCAGGGCGAGGCTGCAGGCAGGAAGGAGGCTGAACGCAGGGAGCCGGAGGGAGGTCCTGCCGCTGCTGGTGAGTGCCTGGGGTGGGGATGGGGGGCTCCAGAGGGCGGGGGCTGAGTGGCCCCTCTCTGCTCCCCACTGCCTGCTGACACAGATGGCAGCCCACGTACAGAGCCCTGGCATGACTCTGCTGAGCGCCATGCTAGAAACTCAGCTGTAAGTTTATTCCAAGCTGAGAGCTGGGGGAGAAGGAGGGCAACCTGCCATCCCTCATCACAGGAAAGTCTCCAAGGTCAAAGAGAAAGAAATGATCGTTTTTTTAATTAAGACCCTCTTTGGGACTTCCCGTCCTGTGTTTGCAGAAATCAAAGATCATCCATGCTGGCCTGCGAGCTGGAGGTAGCCCGCTTGTGTGTTTTGTGTGGCCTGTTTTAGTGTTTTAGATATTTGGAAAATTCATTTCAAATTTTTGGGGGGGTCAAGTTTGTTTACTTTGTGGCATATCCTCCCTCCCCACCCGTCTCCCGCTTTAACCAAATTTGAAATCAGTTGTCAACATTTAAATGTCAGGAACATTTGCCTGAAAAATCCAGGCAATTTCTGGCTTCTCTTGGGAAACCGGAAGGGCCGACCACACTGGGCCTGCATTCCATCAGCCTGGCCGAGGCACCCCCACCTCTGCACGGACACTCTCTGCGTAGACCTGCCACCAGCCCTCTGTGGTCTCACGTTACCTACTGGCCAGGCTCTATAAGGATTTTCATCTGCAACCCCAGACATATTCAACCAGAAGCTCAGCCTGATTTTTCATCTCCAAAGATCCTCTGCTGAGCTCCCTTTAGTGGGATGGTCATGAGTGATAATAGGTGATTGGTGTCTGGGGGGCGTTTTGAGCCCCACCTTGTCAACTCTGTAGCTCTCTTTGTGGATTATTTCTCACCTGTTCTAGGAGCAGCTCGTGATCCCAGAGGACTGGGAGCCTTAGGGCCAGGAGTCATGAAACCTGATTCTGGCCTTTGCTTGGCCCTGGCTCACAGTGTGGGCTTGGGCTTGGCCTTCCCTTGTTTGGGTCTCAGTTTCCTTACTTGTCATGGGAGCAGGCTGGGCTGCATTGGTAAGCACCCACAGGAATATCCAGGGGAGCAGGCAGGTGAAATAAGGCGTGTAGTGGACCTGTGGGAGGGGGAGTATGGTGATCTGGGGGCCAGATCTGTCTGAAGGGGACAATGGCTGCTCGGCCTCAGCTACAGGGTGCCAGGCGGCAGCTGGCCCTGTGTTGCCGTTGTCGAAATTCTGGAATTTCAAGAGAAGCCAGATTTCCAGATATTTATGTGAAATCTCTTGGGTTTTGGTCTGTTACTTTTAAAATATTCACAATTAATTGAAATTTATAAAAACACTACAAGGACCCAATAAAAATACTCGTGGGCCCCCATTTTGCAGCCCCAACGTTAGATAATTGTCAGGGTCCTTGCCAGCGGCAGCATCCTATAATTGATGACTCGTTCGGGGTCAGAGAGCAACCTATTGATGGAGTTGGTCGTACCTTCCCAGGTTTTCAGGTATAAGACTATTGTAATTCATGAGAACTAATTTTTCAAGGCCAAGAGGCGTCATCCTCCTGTCTCCTCTGTGGCAGGTGGGCAGGGGATATAGCAGAAAGAGGACCTGAGTTCAGGCCCAGCTCCGTCGCTTTCCGCTGTGTGACCTGAGACTCGTCAACCTCTCTGGTCCTCACTGTTCTAACCTGTAAAGTGGCCATGACTTTCTCTGCAGCTAGGTTAGCAGCACCCGGCTCCCATCAATGTTCCCTTCCCTCGCCAGCCCTGGGTCCAGCTGATCTGCCTCTGAGCTCCTGTCCCCTTCCTGTTGCAGGAGCCATGAGCACACAGGGTCCCAGCCCCCTGGCCTTCCTCACAGCTCCTGCCACTCCGGGCAGCCCCACAGAGGCGGCTGACCCCCTCCCCATGCTCATCGCCCTCGCCTGCATCTTCCTCCTGCTGGCCAGCTGTCTGCTGTTCATGACCCTCTGCAGACCGGTCGCGCTGGACCCGGCCCAGCGCCGGGCTCGGGAGTGCATGCCCCACCACCCTGGGAGCCCCAGCGAGCCGCAGCTCAGGCTCTGGAAGCGCCTAGGCTCTCTGCGCCGCTCCCTGCACAGCTTCCGACGGGGCAGGCCTGCTCCCCGACGCCCCCTGCCGGGCTGCAATGTCACCCACGATGGTGACCGCACGGAATCCACCAAGATGTGACGGGGCGGCCCCAGCCTCCAGAACCCATCCGCGGACCCTCCTGCCTTGGACAGAGCCCGGAACCAGGGGCTGCGGACGGACGTGGGCCACATGCTCAGCCCAGTGGTCCTCTGTGTGCCCAAGCCCGTGGCCTTTCCCAGAGACTGCCTCTCTGCAGACTCTCCAGCTGCTGCCTGCTGAAAGACGGCTGGGCCGACTGCGGGGCCGGGGGGTGCGAACTGCGGCCCCCAGTACCCTCCTCCAGCAACCAGGCACCAGCCACCTCCGGGAGGCAGTGCCCCTGCTCCCCAACAGAAGTCCCGCTCACCCTCCAGGTGCCAAAGTCCAGCGTGGATTCCAGTTTGACTTGCCAAATGGCCAAAGGTTCCCTCCAGCCAAGGGAAATACTTGGCCCACATGGGGGGCAAGGTACTGTCTTGCCCTCTGTGCCAACTCAGTGCCCGAGGCAAGAGGAAAGCCAGGGACTTCTCTCCTTGGAATTCCTGGGCCCCACCAGCATTCGCCTGATAATCCCCGGGCGTAGCCAGCACCCTCGTGGTGGGTGAGATGGCCGGTGCCCGTTGGGAGGAGGGCAAGCAGCAGGCTCTCAACACTACCCAGCTAATTGCCATCTTGGCAGCCATCTTGGTGGCCCCCCTTGAAGGTGCTGATGTTACAGTGGACCAGGAAGGGGCTGAGAATGGGTTAAGGAGCTCCTTGAGAGGCCAGGACCCACGCTGTGTCAGAGTGGTGGGAGGCAATGCCAGAAGCTAGAGGTGATGCCACCTGGGCTCTGAGGACACATCATAGTGCTCCTGCCTCACCCAGGGCAGGAGGCATCCTCCCTTTGGGGTAGGAGGGTCCAGACCTCTCCAGGACAGCACCTCAAGTCTGGAGCACACTAGGTCTGCTGAGTTTCTGGCAATTGTGTCATTGACTGGCTACCTGTCAAAGCAATCCCACCCTAGAGTGGACACCTCAGCATTCCAAACCCCCAAACTCTCCCCACAGGGCCGTGACTCTGGGTCCCAGATTTGGAGAGTGGGCAGAGGGGTTCTGAGCTGCCTAACTCCTGCCCCAGAGAGTCAGCTGACCAGGGCCACCTGGTGCCCTGCCACGGGGCTGCCCCAGCCCCCCTACTGTGACTCACGGTGCAGCTAGCCAGGTCTTCTCAAAGAGTGAGCTCCAGCTTTGCCACTTGTTCCCAACGGTTCCAGCTCCAGAACCATCCCTGGTTCCCAACTGCTGGCTGGAGAAAGCCAGGGCTTCCTGGTCTGATGTTCAGTGCCCTCTGGGACCTGGCTCCAAACTATCCTTCCAGCCTCGTCCTGACCCAAGACTCCAGACAAACCAAACTACCTGCCCTCCCCAGGCTGTGGCTTACACTCTGCAAGGCACCCCCTCCGTGAGGCTATCTTTGCTCTCCAGCTGAAAGCCACTTCCTGCCTGGAACCACCCCTACCCTTCCCATGGCTCAGAGGGAGGGCAGGGATCAGTGCCTCCTGGCAGTGTGGGCGACCCACATCTATGTCTCCTCCTTCCTACGGGCCTGAGAGCTTGCAGAGAGTGAGACTATGTCCAACCTCTCACATAATCAGCTCCAGGCACAGAAGTATGAATCATGTCTCTATTTCCTGAGTGAACGGTGGCCCCAGCTGGGTGTGTCCCCACCCCCAAAGCTTAAGGATCTTCCCTCACATGCCCCTAGACAGAAGCTTTGTCTCCAAGCATGTTGGTGAGGTCCCCTGTACCTTCAAAGATTGAGGCCAGAAACTTGGTCAGAAACTTCCAGGGCCTTGGAGAAGTCACTAATGCCTGAATTTCTCCCTTAGAAATGAGGGCAGCATTGGGGCTGCCCTGTCTCACTCCTGGGCTCTAGGATTTCAGGCTGTGTTGTGTTGGGTAAATAGAAACCAATTCTTCAGGTTTAGAAAGTGGGGCAAGCCTCATTCCACGGCGTTTGGTACCCTCTCCCCTTCCAGCTTGTTAACCTTGTCCTGGTTCCCTTCCCAGGGCCTCCCTGTCACATCCCAGGATGAATTTGGCCTACAGTCACCGGCCCGGCACTAGGTGCTCTCTTCCTAGAGACCAGGGGTGGGGGTAAGGCTTCCCGGAGGGCCGGAAGGAGACGTGCCCCACTTTGGTCCTGGGAGACTGTCGGTGAGTGGAGTGGCAGGTGTGAGGCTAGAGGAGAAGCTGAGCCCCAGAGGAAGATATCCTCCTCGTTCCTCCTTCTGGAACCCGCCCCCGGCCTCTGGCAAATCCCTGCAGTTTCCTGGACCCTCTGGGCCTCTGGGAGTCAGCACCCTGCTCCCAGCCCATTTCCTGCCAGCCTCCTGGCCCCGATGCAGGGAGCTGGACACACTTCCAGCCCCTCCCGATCCTGGGAGCCTGCCCCAGTGGACAGGCCCGGATTTGCCATGTTTGGCTCAGCCTCCGCCTCCATAGCTGGTGAAGAGGATAATTCAGTCCCGGCCTCCCTCCCCACCCAGCAACTGAGGCCTCCAGGGCAAGCCGGGGGAGGGCACCCGAGCCTAATTTTCAGGTCCTCCCCTTTCTCGCTCGGAGCCTCATAGCTGTCGCTCTTGCTCCCTGGGCAAAGGAGCTCTTTCTTCTTGTGCCTGTTTACTTCCCAAGAAGGGAGCTCCAGCCAAGGGCCCCATGAAAGCCTCTCTGTTCTGGGCCTAGATGGGCCCTGGCTATTTCCCCTCACCTCCTTTCTGGGAAAATGTGACAGCTCCAACCCCTTGCTGTTCTGAAAGGCCCTCTGGGTGGCGTGGGGGAAGAGGAGAGGGTTTGGGGGAACGGGAGGCAGGCAAGGCCTTCCTTCTGTCTTTGGGGGGAGCCAGGGTGCTGTCTCAGGCTACAGAAACTAAAGGCCTTCTCTCCCCGGGTGGGAGGAGGGCACCTGGCCACTTCCGGGGCAGCCGCTGGACCCTCTCCTGTTTCCATCCCTCCATGTGGCATCCGGGCCACCATGACACCGAGCGTGTGTGCAGCCCTGCCTGCCCCCAGCCCACCAGCTGCCCCAGGGGGCTACGGCCACCTGCCTGCACAATGCTGTGTCCCTCAGGGATGTCCTCGGGGACGCTGGCCTCGTAGCTGCTCTGTAGAAAGATGGGCCGGTTGTCGTTCACGTCCAGGACGGTGACGAACACGGTGGCCGTCCCTGTGCGCCGCTTACCTACGGGGCCATTGTCTGTGGGAGTTGAAGGCGGATGGGTCGTTAGCAGCTGCCTGATGGGCAAATTCCCTGGGCACGTGTCCTGTTCACCACACCCACTCTGGCCTTTGTAAGAGGTGGCTCTTTCCTTTTTTAGATTGAGAGTAACACTAACAATGCCTACCCTCTCCCAGGCGCTATTCTAACTCATTCAGTCCTCACAAGAAGCATGTGAAGTAGGGGCTGTCATTATCAGCCCCATTTTACAGAGGAGGGAACTGAGGCCCAAAGCGGTTCCATGGTGGCCGCCAGAACATGGACCCATTCAGGGTCCCTGGCAACTTGTGAGTGCAAACTCATTAGGAAAAAGTGTCTTTGAAGATGTAACGAAGTTAAGAATCTGGAGCTGAGGTATCCTGGACTGCCTGGGTGGGCCACAGACCCATTGACAAGGGTCCTTAAGAGAGAAAGGCAGAGGGAGATTTGATTCGGAGAGAAGGTCACGTTAAGTCAGAGGCACGGATTGGATTTTGCAGCCACGAGCCAAGGAATACTTCGAGCCACCAGAAGCTGGAGGAGTCAAGGAAGGATTCCCCTCTAGATCCTTGAGAGGGAATACAGACCTGCTGACACCTTAATTTTGAACTTCTGGCCTCCAGAGTCATGAGGAAATAAATCCCTACTCTTTTAAGCTGCCCAGTTTGGGGTAATTTGTTACAGCAGCCGGAGGAGACAGATGCAGGTACGGAGATCACAAGCCAACAGCTCTCAGGGCCAGGTGGGTGAGACCCGTGGGTACACGCATGGGAGGGCCCACCCCAAAGGGCAGCTCGGCTCTCTTCCAGTCCACAGTGGACAGGCCAAGGGTGGACCTAGTGACACGAGGTCTTCTGATTTCTTCAGAGAAATGGAACATCTGAGCTTCTACATAAAATCTCCTGATTTTTAAATGTTCCCACCTAACTCATTCTGTATGGAATAAGAGATGGGTCAAACATGACTACAGGGCAGATTGGGCCTCTGGGCCCTGGGCACTCAGGGCCACAAGCCCTGCTTGATTTCTAAGCCTTAGGTGTCCAGGGGTTCTGCCCCCTTGGTTCCCTGTGGGACCCTCCCAGGGCTAGGGACGTGACTCAGCCCCAGGGGCAGCTGTCAGGTTGCCCTCCGTGGAGGAAGGAGCGTGTGACCTGTCCTACAGGTCTGGGCGAGGGTGGTCACCCCAGGGAGGAGTACAGGTAGCTGGCACTGGCTGAGGATGAGGGGTGACTCTATCCTTCTTCCCAGGCCAGCTGACCACATGCTGGGGCACAGTCGCCTCTCTCGAGGTAGATGATCTTGCCCTCCTAAGCTCCTCTCCAAGCCCAGCCTCCCACTGCCCTGGAGGTCCTGCTTACTTGGCCCGGCTGGGGACAGTATGAGCTCCAGGCCCCATCCGAGGCCTGAGCCTGAGCCCTCTCCTCCTGCCACACAGTGCTTGAGGCAGCGGGAATGAGGGGTCTCCCGAGAGTGGGAGGAGAGCAAGGCAGAGGGGAGATGCATGTGGGCATGGGGTGGGCTGGGGAGGGGCTGCTGGCTGGAAAGGCGGAGGCACAGAAAGCTCACTCCCTCTCACCTGCAGCTTACTGCAGATGTCAAACTGGGTGCTCCTAGGAGGGGGGCCATAGGCCTCCTCACACCCTTCTTCCCATCTTGAGCCCTCATGGGCTCCCTACTGCCTGGAGACCAGAGACCAAATTGTGGGCTCAATGTTCAGGCCTTTACCAGCTGGCCCTACCTGAGTGCAGCCTCCTCCCCAGTGTACATCACACCATGAGCCAGCTTCTGAGACACACACACACACACACACACACACAGACAGACACACACACACACATCTCTTTCCCATAGCCAGGTCCTGGGCTGGTTCCTCTGCCTGAAAGGCCCTCCCTGCTTCTCGACGTACTGAAACCCGACTTGGCCCTCAAGGTGGTGACAGGCAGGTGTCTGTCCAGCCGCACCATCCTGCTCTTGCAGGCAAACTCCAGTCCTGAAGGTCCCTCTGAGAACCCTACCTCCCTGACTCAGAGGCCTGGGCTTCGGGGCAGGTCTGACCACCCCCCGGCACCAGGGACGGGCCTGGATTTAGGCCTAACTAGCACATCTCTCCCCCCTTGAGCACGACAAGGGCTTCAGGGACAGGCACTGGGGCAGATGAGCTCATCGGGGCTCCTCTGGGGCTTCAGCGGGGGAGACCAGCAAAGACAAGTGCTGTCTCCCTGCCACTGTACTTGAACCCGGAAGGATTCAGGCCCGGGATGCAGCAACCACTGACCACTCTGTCAGCCAGAGAGTGGGGACAACACATGGGAAGCTGAGCTAGCCACTGCGGAGAGACTGAGGCCTCCTGGCACCACCTGGGCCCCAAATCCAGTCCTACCTGAAGCTCCGTTGCCCTATGGACTGGTTTTGTGAGCCCATATTGCTTAAGTTAGTTTTAAAACTCGCAACCAAGACTCCTAACTGATCCAAAAACACTCCCAGCTGCCACTTCCTCTAAGAAGACTTCCCGGATCATGCCCTTCCCCTAACATGTTTCCACCTCGCTTTGTGCCTGATACTCTGGGCTCCCCCCTCCCCCCTTTCTGCCTCGCGGGCCTGGTGTTGCAGCGATCTGTCTACACCCCACCATCTGAGCGGCTTGCATGTAGCACTGCAGGCTAAGCCTCCTGCCCGCCAGGGCTCAGTGATGCGCTGGATGTCCGGCTGCCCTTTCTCCACTGATGTCAAGACACAGCCTCTGGCTCAAGGCCTGGCTCTGGGGGTCACCCCACCAGACTGCCCAGAGCTGTGCTGGTGATGTGCAGGTAGGGCTGGGGCGTACCGATGGCCTCCAGGACGAGCGTGTACGCGGCTGTGGTCTCCCGGTCCAGGTTTACTACTGTTCTCACAACAGCATCACGGTAGCCAACACTGAACTTCCCATCCACGTTTCCACCTGTGGGCCAAAGACAATGAGGCCTCTGTGAGCAAGCAGGGCTCCTGCCAGGGAAAGGGCGGTGGCACCCTGGCTCTGCTCCCGGGCCAGGACATTCCAGGGGTAGTCGGGGAGGAAAAGGCCATGCTGCGTATTCAGCCCTGCCCACAGACAGGGTTCTGGGGGCGGGGGGAGGCTCGGATGAGGGTGTGGCCTGTGTGGGCTCAGGTGGGGGTGCCAAGCGCCTGAAATCATAAGGGTTGAACATTCATTGAGCACCTACTGCATACCAGGCACTTCATGTGGTCTCTTTCATCTGGTTTGTACTATCACGAGCCCACTTCACAGAGAGGGAAATGCGTCCTTTAGTGAGGTTACGTGTGTTGCCCTGGGCTACAGTCACCTAATGTGGGTGTAAGACTCCAACTTGACATTCTGATTTCTGAGCCTGCGTCCTTCACCGTTCTGCCACCTGCCCATCTGGTGGGAGCGTCTGAGCAGTTAACCTGGGTTGAGGCTTTTACAGGTGCTCAGGGATTTTGGGGTCAGCTAAGATTTTTCCAGGTCCCTAATCTTGGACTCTCTGAGTGGGGATTCCTGGAGGCTCCACGGAGTGACGAGTAGGGGCAGATGGCCAGGGTGGGAAGTGGGAGGGTCTCCTCTCCAAGGTGGACAGGAAGGGACTCCATCCGAACAGTGTAAAGATGGCCCCCCAGCCAGCCGGCAGGCAATGTGGTGTTCTGGACAGCAGAGGGTGATGCGGCACTGGGTTTGGGCTAGCTTGGACCAGGACCCCGCACCGTTCCTTGCAGAATGAGCAAATTAAAATCTGAGATTCCCAGCTGGGAGGGCTCTCAGCAGGTCAGCACAAACTGGCCCCTTTGGGGCGCTGGGAAATCATCCTGGGAGCTACCAGGTGCTCCCTTGTCCTTACATGGTTTGCCCCTGGAGAAAAGCCCTGACCCCTTTGTGGATGGTCTGAAGCACCATTCACATGGGACAAAATCTGGCTCCTAGGGGATGGGGGAGAAACTGAGGCGCCAGTAGTGCTGGGGGCTGAACCATGACTGGTCCACATGGGGGGAGTCTTGATAACGAAGCCTTTCTTGGAGCAGTGTTGAGGACCAGACTGTGAGGAGGTGGCCTGAGGGTGCTGGGCCCCTTTAGGGAGGGGAGGGAGGGAAACATCTGGAAAGAAGAGGTTGAGAGCCACTGCAAGCAAGGATGGGTTGTGAAGCTGGGATTCCTTGCTCCAGGGGCAGAGGCGTCAGGGAGACTGGTGTGTGCACTGAATGCATGTGCATACACATATGTGCATACGAGCGGGTGAATAATGTGGCTGCAGGCAGGCCCATGGACGGAGAGAAGACTGAGCCAGTAATACGGCCGAGGGACAGCTAAGGAATGTGAAAGAACTGCCCCCAGCATCCCAGCACCTCTCAGGTGTGTCAGGGACTGAAGCACGCTGGGCAACTCTTCTAATCCAGGCATGACTAATACGTGGCCTGTTTACCGCCATCTACCGAGCCTACTGTCATGGCAGACATCACTAATTGCTCATGACTCCGTTTCTCCTGTTGAGCCAGGACATGGCCTCATACGATTTCTCCACAGCTCTCTACTTAGTATTTGTGAGCTAAAACCATTTTATTTAAAAAGATTGAAACCATTTGTCTCTAAACAGATGGGAATTCTCATGAGTGAAGGGTCCCTGGGGAAGGACAAGACCACAGACTTCCCGTCTCGGCTTTATCACCTTGACGTGGGGGTGGAGTGGCGGGGGGCAGGGCTCCTCCCCAGCAGTCACGGGCTCTACCTCCCTCCTGACTGAACCTCGGTAAGTTCCCCCAATCTCCGAAGAGGTTCAGGAGGCCCCCAGTGAGCCAGGCCAGAGGGACCCAGCTACAGAGCCCCTGGGAAAAGCTTAGAGCAAACCCTACGGGAGGGTCCAGCGGGAGCTGAAGCCTGATGCGGAGGGCTGACTCGGGCCCCTCCCCCATCCTCCTGGGGTGGGGGGAGGCTGGGGGCACACATCGGGAAGGAGCGGAGGCAGGGCCGCACCTGTGATGAAGTAGCTGAGCTCGGCATTGAGGCCCGCGTCATTGTCCGTGCAGTTCAGCCAGACCACCCGGAAGTCCCGCGGCACGTCCTCGGACACGGAGACATCGTACACGGCGGGGAAGAAGGTGGGCGTCTCGTCGTTCACGTCCAGCACTGCGGGCAGAGTCAGTGCACAGGGCTAGGCGGGGCTTCCGCTCCAGAGAGCCCAGCGCCAGAGGCGGTGGGAGCCGACACGTCTCGGTGGGGGGCCGGGGGTCCCCACGCCTGCTAGGGTCAGGGCAGGGCTGACCCGAGCTCCTCGGCCTCCCGTGGTCCTGCTCCCCGGGTGCTCTGGTGCTGGTGCTGCCGGCCACACCAGGAGAGAGAACCCTGGGGCCTCCCTCCAGTAGGTGCCTCACGACGGCAGCAGCAATGATGATGGCAATGACCGTGACAGGGAGCCTGTGCTAGGTGCTTCCCGTACACACCCCGTGTGCCCCTCCTAACACCCTGACAAGGCAGGCATTCTCAGACACACCAGACAGAGGAGGGGACAGGAGCTCAGAGCAGTTGAGTCACTTGTCCCAAGTCACACAGCAGGCGAGTGGCAGGGTTGGGGTCTCGGGGAGGCCCGCCCCTAGTCTGTCATGGGGTCCTAGGAAAACAGCTGGCTTTGAGGATCCTCCCCACCGAGAAAAGTCTAATTTCCCTTAAAGATGTGTTTTCCCAGCTGATGGGGCTTGGGACAATCTTCACAGTGAAATGACCCCACCTTCCCTCTTCAGCTCCTCGTTGTGATACCCCCAGGAGAAATGATGGGCTTGCTTGCGGACCTGGCTTCTGCTGAGGCCGGGAGATAAATCCTCTCTGGGAGCACTGAGCACCTCCCTGTCAGTCACTGGCACACAAGCGGGTCCCCAAACGGGCACCAGGGACCCACAAGGCAAGCGTGGGACCAACGGGTGAGAGAATGCCTAGGCACGTCTCGGGCAAATGTTTGTACTGAGCTAACCCCCACCTGCACCAAGCCCGAGGGGCCGGCAGGAGCCAGAGAACAGGACACATCTTGCCCGTCACACTCTGTACCGACTTGACTTCCCGGGGTGTGTACTGACTTGACTTCCCTGACAACAGCTTGTGTCAATGTCCCTGTTTTGTCCCCAGGGTTAAAGATATGACCAGAATGGAGGAGAAGTCGTAAGGGGCCTCGGCCCTGCCCTTCTCCTGCCTGCGGCTAACCCCGAGGGCCCACCCACCCCTCTGCTGTTTGCAGGATCAAAGACTCTAGGAGGGGTCGGGGACCTTGGCAGTGAGTCCAGGCCCGGGGCTGGGGTGGGGGTGGGGGGCGGCTACTGAAGGCAGCGGCTCGGTGGGAAGAAGGCTCTGCCGGCATTTTGGACTTGGTGGAGGCAAAGAGCGCTCTGTGCTGAATGGCGTGGTTGAGGAGGACACCCCATTAGCAAGGCACCCTGTGTCCACATAGACAGGGACAGCGGTGGTGGTCGTGGGCTCCCCAGCCCGCCCGGCGCTGCTCCAGGGCCCGTGCGCTCTCCGCGCCGTAGGAGACCCCCGGCCCTCACCTCGGATGGTGAGCGTGCCGGTGGAGCTCTTGGGGGGCGTGCCCGCGTCGCTGGCCACGACGCGCAGCTGGTACTCGGCGATGCGCTCGCGGTCCAGCTCCGCGCTGGCGACCACCACACCCCTGCTGCTGTTGATGAGGAAGTCCATGCGGGGCATGCCCACCTGCATGCGGTAGGACACCAGCCCGTTCAGGCCCTCGTCCAGGTCGATGGCCACCACCTGACGGAAAGCAGGGACCACGTGAGGGGTGGGGACAGGAGGACTTCGCCCCTGAGAAGGGCCCCCTCCTTCCCACTGATCGGCGCTCAGCTCCAGCCAGACATGCCCGCTTCCCTCAGTGTCTCCAGCCGTGCCACTGTTCCCAGCACCTTCCCAGATACTAAGAGGGCAGCACGTCAGAGCTAAAGGCATCCGGATAC